TGATACCGTACTCAGGAGAGGGTAGCCGGACGCCAGCCAAGGACACCTTCGAGGTGGGAAGATGACGGTAGGAAAGCAGCGCATCCTCCACGAGGCTTATGGAGCTATTCATAAAGAGTGCTCCCAAGAACCATGTGGGGATCAGGTAGCCGATGGGCACACCGGAAAGGAAGAGGCCCCCACCTCTTTCTTGGGAGCGAAAAAGTCTAGAAATCTAACGGGCCTTAAGAACTAGAATAGGGTTTGGGGGTATAGTATACTATGAATGTGAGAAGGAAACCTGCGGAATAATGTTCCTAATGATTTGCAGTATAGCCGGTATAGTATATTATATAAAACAAGGAACCTAACGAGATATTGGCAACTGTTGAGGCTTCTGTATCACTAGGCTCCGCAGCAGAAAACACACCCCAAACTGCAGTGCCCAGAGTTGACTCAACATGAACTCTGAAATTAGACGCAATACAAACCAAAATCACGAGCCCAGGGGCAGAAAAGAGCACAGGTGAAGACGGACACGCGGTGGCTGCCGCCGTCCATTCGAAGCTGCACGGAGCTTCCTTTTGCCAACAGCCAGATTCAACGTGCTATGTGAGCAGATGTCCTACAAGAGCTGTACAGCTTCGAGATACTTAAGTTTGCCTAAGCTTGGCATGAGAAATGGAGCTATGTCAACTGAGCAGAACCTTGCATCATGAAACTGTAGCACGCCAACAACTGTTCAGAGCCACGAAACCCAAAACCCTCAAGCCAAGCCCTTGGATCTGAAACGCTCGAAACCTTTAGCCTCAAGCCACAAACCCTGAACCCTGAACCCTGCAACCTAAGACCCAAACTTGATCCTAAACCCTAGAAATCCTGAAACTCTGATACTGCAATACCAAAACCAAACGAGAGAAGGTGTCCCAGGCGGTGGAAGGCGATGATGCCACCACACATGCCCAGCAGAAGGTCCTGGGTGTTAAGGTTCTCAAGTCTGTCAGGGTTTAGGGTTTAGGGTTAAGGGCCGGGGTTTAGGGTTTAGGGCTTAGGGTTTAGGGTTTAGGGTTTAGGGCTTAGGGTTTAGGGTTTAGGGTTTAGGCTTATCGGCTTAGGGCTTTGGGTTAGGATGGTTGTGTTGACGCCTTTTTCCGTCTGCCTGAAGTCCCGAGGGTTCATGGCTTTTGGGTTTATAATGCAGGGCTTGGGTGTTAGCGCTCGTGGAGTCTTAGGGCATGGAGAGTGCTAGGGTGTATAAGTTTCGGTTTGGTGCTAAGGGTTCGGTGGGGTTTTCAGGGGTTGCAGTTCAGCATGCTTAGTAGTGATCATTGCTAAGGGCGCAGGGGTTTAGGGATTGGCGTTCAGATATCAAACCACCTCGGCCTCGGATGCCAAACCGTTTTTGAGCCGCTGGTTTGGTTTATGACAAAACTCGTTAAATACCCAGGATGCTTGCCCTAAACAGTCACTTATAGAACAGTACTGTAGCCTCTATAGAGAACCCATAAACAGCCCTTGGAAGGTAACCCTAAAGCTTTAAGATGCAACATGTCATCGAAACGCTTACCAAGGGTTGATCGATGCAGAACCGTGCGCCCGCTGCACAAGTCTTCTGCTCATCACAGGGAATCTGCAGATTTGGTGTGTGCATTCGTCAAGGCACGAGAATGACATTGTCGCAGCATATGCGCTATGAAGAACCAGAAGGGAAGCTCCTTCTGGAACTCAAGATGCTGCCATAGGCACGTTTAAGGGACGCTTACACACCACAAAGACGCGCAATTGGCAATACGTAAACACGCATCGTGTTGGGATGTCATGGGTAGCAGCGCTCCGCAGCGAAATTGAACTTCTAGGACTCAGCACGTAACCAGGCACGCAAGTTGTAAGGAGTTCTAGCGGACCATGGTTCTCGCAACCAACGCTGCCAAAGCACCACCCAGCCCACCGTGAGAAGCTCCCGGTCGTAGTCTAGCGCCTGCAAGGACATGGGAGCTCCTCTTACGATCAATCCTGTGCATGTTCGCATCCTCGAAGTATCACGACGAATAACCTATAAGCTAACTTATACCAATCATTCATGAAAGTCTATACTGCGAGTCATACTGACCACGAGGCGGAGGGTGGTGGCTGGTCAATGCCAAGGAGCTCATAAGCTTTACTTTGTTTTAAATCAAAAACGCATATAAGCCCTTTTTATTCCCTCAACCCTAAACAACCTCTTATTGTGCTCCACTGCCCAGGTGCATCCGTGGGCGCGGGATCCCCCGGAGGTCCAGTGGGAAACCTTTGAAGAGGGCTTCTTGGGGGGGGGGGGGGGG